TCGGATTATAAGACCTCTACATATGATGATATATTCCCACCTCTATTGCCTCTTCCACCTCTACTGCCTCTTGTTGTTGTAGTCAATTTTTGAATGTTGAGTTTTGGTCTACCTTTTGGATTAACATGTTTAGGTGGTGGGTCCTTCTTTTCGTTCTTATAAATCTTTGCATTATGTCCCATTTCCAAGCAATTACTACATGTCATTACCTTCCCAAATTGAGTCACTCTTGTACCTTGACTTTTAGATTATGATCTTTTTCTTTTTATAGATGGCCTACCGGACATTCTTCTCTTCTTAGGTGGGTTTGGTTTGATGTAAGGTGTTGGAGTCGACATGTTGTTCCCATTCAATGGTCTTATAGTATTCTTATATGCCATTTTGAAGATATCCTTAGTAAACCATTTACTAACATAATCCTCTGGATCCTTATTGATAAAGTGAATGACAACAATGAAATGCACACAAGGAATACCTGATATGTCCCATAATCTACAACTACATTTTTTAGCATCTAAATCTACCAACATTGCATCATAAACATTTCGTGTTTCAAACACATTCCCACCACTAGGGATAACATACCAATACCTACATACGAAAAATAATACATTAGCATACAAGATCATTGTTATATCTGAGAAATATTTTTGGAAAGTTCAAGGGTTACTTTTGATAAATCTAGAAAGTTGAGGAGTTGTTTTGAAAAGTTGATTCAAAATATCCCATTCCGCCTTACTCTTTCTAAAAGAGTTTATATGTAATTGCGTGCCATTATTATTCCTTGTTTTAGAAAGAAGAAGAATAATAAAATTGGGAAGGGTCTCTGGTTCGAAGCAAACAGAAAACCGAAGAAGGAAGAAGAAACTGATTTTGTGATTCTTAATTGGAACTTGTTGTTGTTCCATATCTGCATTTCTTTGTGATTTATAAGGTGAGTTTTATTTTAAATATATCATTTGATTGCTTTTAGAAAAGAAACCGTATGGTCTCATACTTGATATTGGAAGGTGATTATATGCTAATATTTAACATAATTTTGGGTTTTGTTACGTTATTATCATCTATTTATAATAAGGGTGGCATAATCAGAAGATGAATATATTTTGAGTAATAAGGGTGACATTATCTGAAGTTGGGTATATTTTAATAAGGGTGCATAATCAAGAGTTAGGTATACTGATATAAAAGAGTCATAATCAATTTCTGGAAATGATGATCTTTTTATCATGGGTTGTTATGGCATTAGAGGGATGCGATGAGTTGGTTATATCGCATCAGTATGATGTGATGAATTGAGAATATCACATAAATAAGATGAGACATATTTGGGTTTATCGCACTAGTATGGTGCGAGGAGTTACTGTTATCGCATCAGTATGGTGCAACAAAAGTTGGTTACACATGTGCTTGATGTGATGAGTTGGTTTATCGCATCTTTATGATGCGACAAGTATGTTTATCGCAGTAGTTGGATGTGACAAAATATACTCGTTTATATGTTAAATGCAACAAGTTGATGTATTATGAGTTTGATGTGATAAATTGTTTATTATGTTGTTCAATGCGATAAAATTGAGTTATCTCATCTTCATGACGCGATAAAAGAAAAAAAAAAGTAAGTCATATAATTTGAGATCTTTGATGATGGATTTATTAAAAGATGTTTTGGTGATTTTCACTCTACAATGGCACTAAAAAAGGATTTCTCACTAGACCTCAAGTCTAACCCTCATTTGTATCTCAAAATGTGCGTTACAGGTTAGGCACAATCAGGTGATAAAGAGAAAGAAATGTTGTGAAGAAATTATATTTGCTTGCATGAGAGATTGGAAAGTTGTGTTATCTTTTGAACTTGATTGTCTGTTATAAATACAAGCCTTGTACTAAAATACATACTCGAACTATTACTCAACAAAAAATAAGAGCTTTGGTTTCAGCTCAGAATAGCAGAGCAAGTACAAGTATTAGTAGCATAACAAAAATGTGTTCCTCGTCATTAATATGTTTGCTCGCGACGGCTATTCCGCCTAGCCAAGCCATAAAAAATGGATTAAAATTAAATATAAATGAGGAAAAATTTGGTAGCTACTTTTATATTATGACTTTTGTGTATATTTGGGACCGAATGTATATAGTTATATTTGTTGATATATGAAAATATATATTTATATGCAAATGTGAAATTGGGGTGTTACAAGTTTGGTATCAGAGCCTGAGTTTAAGAGATTACGGTATTTAGCATGATGCTTACACTTAAACTGTCTTATTTGCATATTAGGGGTCCTTGACATTTATAGAACCTTTGAAAATAAATATAATAGGTTAAAAGAACGATATGTAAGATAAATTTAAATTACAACTGACCTAATTATGAGTTTACAGGTACATATTTGTGCTCGGATATTCTGGGAATGTGATTATATGAATATTAAATTTTGTAAATTGTCAGATGACAAGTCACTCAAGAAGATCTAAAAGGATTGCTATTACAAGCCGGATGAAAAAGAAAGTTCACCAAAAAATGTTCAAGAAAATATACCTGTTGGTTGAGGTAGAGGAAGAGGCAGGGGAAGCGGCAGAGTAAGGGGTCGAGGAAGAGGACGAAGTATTCACCTTGAGGTTCATCCAGAACAAGGAAATCCATTCAGGAAAATGCTAATGAGGAATAGATTCAACATCCTGAGTACGTTACTCGAGACATATTAGCAGAGGAGATGAGTAAGCTTCAAAACACTTTAATTTCTATTTTGGGAATACTTTCCAGCGTAGAAACTGAATTAGTGGAAATAAATCCACAAGTCCATACTTCAAATAAAAAGGGGGTGATATCAAAATGTTTTTGACGTGTAAACACCCGACTTTTTCTAGAGAGAGAGACCCGATAAAAGCCATGTGTTGGCTAAAAGAAATTGAATCGACCCTTAATACAAGTAAGTGTTTATATGAAGATCAGGTTAGATTTGTTGTTTCGATGCTTAAATCAAATACTTTGTATTGGTGGGAGGTTAAGTCATTGTCTAAACCCAACAATTTACAAACAATGTCATGGATGGAATTTGTGGATAGATTCAAAGAACAGTTCTGCCCTAAAGTGGCAGTGAGGCAGTTGGAAGAAGAATTTCTGAAATTAGAACAGAGAAATCAAACTGTGCGGGAGTATACCGAAAAATTTATCGGACACTCCTGATTTGCTGAACATTATATATCTTCAGAATCCCGCAGAGTTGAGCGATATATTTGGGGATTAATACCCTCTATCCAATTGTTTGTGATCGTGATGAATCCTGTTACATTCTCTACGGTTGATGCAGCTGAAACTACGAAAAGAAATAAGAATAGACAAGGGGGAGAAAGAGTGGTAGAAAAGAGAAAATGGGAAGGGTCTTCAGTGGAGTTCAGAAGACAAAAAGTTTATAAAATATGAGAATCGTCCAATTCAAAGAATCAATGAACGACCTTATTAGAGATGTTAGCGTGTTCATCAGGGTGGTTGTAATTTGGATCAAAGAGTTTGTTTCAGATGTGGAAAATCGGGGCATATTTCCCGAGATTGTAGAATGTCCCAACGTTGCTATCAGTGTGATTAGGGGTGATCACGGGTCGGATCGGACCACAAAACGAAATCGATCGGGTATCGGATTATAACATCACACCGCGTAATATACAGTTCAGGTCCGGGGGTAGTTCAGGTTCGGGCGGGTAAAATGAAACTGTGTATCTTCTTGTACTTGCAATGTATAGGGGATAGGGAGGCATCACCCCTTTTGGTTTGGAGTAAGGGACTGTAGATTCTGGTTTGTTGTGATCTATATATGTGTTGTAGGGGGAAAGGAGGAAAAGAGAGAGATCTGACCACTGTCCACTATCTTAAATCTTGATCAATGCTGTTTGGACCTGTCACAGTGTCACCCCTGAAGAGATGATAAACCTTTTAGGGTTAGAGCAACACAAATAGACCTTGAAAATTGCTAGGGAAAAGCTGCATAATGAAGACTCTCAAGGGTGAGGATTCAAAGTTCCAAAAAGACATCAAATACCATCAACTCATCAAGTGATTTAGAAAAAAAAACATGAACACAAAGATTCAAATTTCAAAGAATGAAAGAACACAAACGAAACTTCAAAGTGGCCACTTCTAGATATTGTTCAGTTATTCTGCCATACATCATATAGATCATCTACATCAACTGTTGGAAGAGAATCATCATGGTCAGTGATAGAACTTAAACTTCCAATTCTCATATTCATCATTTTTGCGTTTATAAAAACAAATTAAAAGAACGATGTAAATATACAAATTCAACTATTCAAGTATATACTAACATAAGTTGAAAAAGAATATTAAAAAACATAATTAATGTCGTACATTTCTCAAACTTTTCAATATCATCTATGTTTTCTTCAACTGCAATTGGCTGACTAAGGCCTCTTAGCCAGTCTTGTGTACATATCAGGGCTTCTACCATTCTAGGAGATAGAGAACTCCAAAAATTATCCAAGACCCTGCCACTAGTACTAAAAGTCAATTCAGATGCCACAGTTGAAATTGGAACAACAAATACATCTCTAGCCAATTTTGAAAGGATAGGAAACCTTTCACTGTTAACCTTCCACCATCTTAAAATATCAAAATCGTTTGTATCATATATGGTGGACTCACTTAGATAAACTTCAAGTTCACTCTTTTTGTTAAGTGAAGCCCCACTTTCCATTTTTTGTTTCTTTAGTTGGCTTTTTAATCTGGATTGTTCCCTTCCAACAGGAACATTCTCACACTTAATGGGTGGAGGAGGCATCATAGTGGTAGAAGGTTCAGAATATGTTGTGACATACTCTTCAAATAACATATTTAATTTAGACTTTACCTTCTCAAAACATGACTTACTTTGATCCTCACCATACATTTGATTAAGTTGGACTTGCATGTACTCAACCTTGTCTCTAGGGACCAATATATTGCCAAAAAATATTATAAAGTTCATCTTATCCGGATCACGTCAATATTTACTAAACTTCTCTTTCATTTTACCACCCATTTCCTGTTCATAAATCAAAAACCAAATATAAGTAAATATTAAATTTGAAGTTGATTTAAAATTTAAAAATAAAGGAAGATAAACATACCTCTTTAACTTTTGACTTAGATTGTAACATATCGGCAAAAATGCAACTCAAATATGAAATCTCGGATAAGAAAGAATTTGAGGTGACATAAAGTGAGCCAGAAATTATGATTGTCATCTCATAAAATGTCTTCAAAAAAATCACCAAGCTGTCAACAGATAACCAATCAAGATACGAAGGTACCAGATTACCTAATTCCAAAGTCAACGTGGTGTCACTACTATCATATGTTTCAAAAACTTGTCTGTAAGCTATTGCGGTTCGAAACATCATATAGGTGGAGTTCTATCTGGTTGGAACATTTTTCTCTTCCACTTCAAGTAATTATGCAAGTTCTCTAAATTTCTTCAACCTAGATGGTGAACCCCTTACCCACCTAATGCAATCCTTAATCTTCTTAACTGATGTATCTATTAATTTCAATCCATCTTGTACATCCAAGTTTAGAATATGAGCAATGCGTCTCTTATGTATATACTTGGCCTTAGTAGAAGAACCACCCCAATTCACCACCTTCTTTTTCATGAACCCAACGACAATACCATTGCTTGATGCGTTATCAACTGTTATAGTGAAAATATTTTTTACTCCCCAATCAAGCAAACAACTCTCTATGGCTTAGCTATATTTTCCCCTTTATGTGAATGTATAGGCACAAATGAGATGACTTTTTTGTTTAGTTTCCACTCATCATCAATAAAATGTGCAGTGACACACATATAATTGATTCTTTCAACAGATGTCCAAGTATCGGTAGTCAAACTATACGCTGCGTGCTTGAATTAAACAATTTCTTAAGATTCGTCTTCTCTTTAAAGTAAATACTAAATATAAACCAATTAATTTTCTATTTAGAAGGGATTTTAAATCTAATAAAACCCCTCCCTTTAACAAACCTAAATGGAAGTTCATCCATTATAATCATTTTAGCTAACATCTTTTGAACAACCTCTTGGTTAAAAAACCAAGATGTCAAAACACCATCACTATTATCAGATTTTCTAGATTGAAATGCAAGAATGGACTGTTTCGTTTCCTTAGCATGTGGATTCTTTAGACAAGCGCACATTTGGCTATTTAAAAATGAAGTACCATGCTTTTTAGCCTCGACTACATATACTTTTGAACAATATAAATACTTACCTTTAATGACTACCCCATCATCGTTTAAAATCTTCTCAAAATGGTCCTATACTTGAGATTTGGATTCTAACGTTTTTCGTTTCCTTGTACTTTCCGGAACAGATTGAGTTACGGTAGGATTAGATTGTAAAGGAGGTTGTTGATGACCCTTACTTCCAGACTGAGAATGCTAACTTTTTTTCCATCTATAATTCTAAACAATATAATACTTAACAAGTTAACATGAAGAATGAGTGTTCCATAACATTAACATTATATAATTAATAATAATATTGTGGGTTTCATTTATTATGCTATATATAAATACATATGAAGATTGTATAATTGTTGATGTCTCTGAAACTCAATGCTCTTTATTCATATGGAATTAATTTGGTGCATACAAATTAAACGATAAATTAATATCATGGGAAGGAGCTAGTTGAGGATATTTGAGATAAAGCAGATGTGTAATTATAGTTTTAGCACAAGTCAAGTATATATATATATATATATATATATATAGAGGTAGGGAGGGGTAGACGATAAACTTCTCTTGGCTTATTGTCACCCAAGTAATAGAAGGTGAATCTTACGAAGAGGATATGTTACATTGGAAGATACACAAGCAGGGCCGTTCTTGAGGTTTTTGATGCCCTATGCGAAAATGCTAAAATAAGCCCCTATGCCTTTTTCTTAAGCAAATGAAACGACAAAACATACAATTTTACGACAAAAGATACGATTTCATTAAAATGAAAAATACAAAGGGGGGCATAAAAACCAAAACCCCAAATATAAGTATATCTCCTAAAACGATGTCTTTGTGCATTTCTTGAAGCAAACATGTAACGCCCCATTCCACATAACTCATGTAACATATACTTTATAAATAAGAAATACATGTTTGCATAACACATTGGTCCCTTAGTACAAGAATCTACCATTATCAAATACATGGTCCAAAAATTTCAAAATACAATTCTTGCACTAAACCAGATCTATCTAACAAAACTATACATGCTGTTAATAAATCTTCATGCAGATAAACATATATGGAAGTTGTTACATTTTTCCCTTCCCTTTACCCTCAGCACTTCCTGCAATACATATTTAAAAAAATCACAAAACGAGGGTTAAACCGAAAGGTCTAGTGAGTTACCCTATTTATATCATTGCAGGGTGATAATCACCAAAACCTTTATATAAAACAACTTTTCATATATATAACAAATATATGAACAAGTGAGAAYACAATATCAATACCTTTCACCTTTCAAGCCAATAATTTTTGCTTGTAAATAATACATCAAATCCAGACAGGTTTATTTTAACCAAATAACATAATACCACTTTTAAATCTTTTTCCACTCAAACAAGGTTTATTCCAAGTTTCAGGCCAAATCTATTATCCCTTTCTCTATAACATTCAGACTATGATTTCCAATAAGAACCCTGATTCTAAATCTTTAAGTCACAAAGAAAAAAGATTCCAAACCATAGTAATCTTAAAGAATATGATAGTAAGAGTTATATTATATAACATACATATAATTGCCACCCTTATATCCAAATGTACACCTCTCCTTGTTATGTCACCTTTATCCCATGGTACACCTCTCTCCTTGATATGCCACCCTTATCCCATGGTACACATCTCCTTGATATGCCACCTTTATTTTTTCATCAAAATATTTTACAAAAACAATTTCATATAGAATAGACCGTAGTCAATGGGATTATTAATAGTTCAAAATTATCTTTTTCAAAATTCCCCCATTTATATATAAAAACAATTATATATAAATCATGAACAAGTCAAAATGCAAATCCGGTCAAAATAGACTTGGTCAGACTTCATCTCCGGTCAAGTCTTGGCCGGATTACCAAATCCGGACAACACATCGCCCAAGGCTTGTCCGATTAAATATTTAGAAAAAGATTCTAACACTTTTGTACAGATAACAAATCCGGACAACACTATGCCCCCATTAACCGATTTAAATTAACCCGGTTATCACATGATCGTATTCATACTTCTCCGTTCAAAATATTCAACATAATTTCAATATTCATAAATCGCTCACGGTCAACCCACCAGGCGGTTTATTTATAAATCGCCCATGCCTTATCCGGTTTATGACTTGAGTAGCTCAACCCTTGCCCGGTTTAAGACTAAATCGCTTAACACTTATCCGGTTTAGGTCCAATCCGCTTGACACTTATCCGGTTTATATACATATATCGCTCGACCCTTGACCGGTTTATGCCTTAAACCGCACAACCTTGGTCCGGCTTATTCTTAATCCGTACAACACTTAAATAAACTCAAAACTCAATAAAACATATAATTTAAAGCATTTTGGAAGCATTTAACCACTCACCTTTTACAATCTTTAGAAACAAGATTGAACCCAACTTCAAATTCCAAGCAATACAAGCAATCCGGATGATCTCTCTCTACTTTTCTTTAAATCACTCATTAATTCTTAGAAAATGGCAAGCAGAAGAAATGTAGGCTTCACCCCCTATTTATACCCTTCCCAAAATAGGAAGGCGGCTATGCTCACATGCTTACCCAACCCCAAAAGCAAAACCCATGCATACATACTGCTTCATGTATACATAATCATGCATGCAAATATATTTTATGTATACATTTCCCATGCATAACACACACATTCCCACATGATCAATTATAATAATTTATCATGCTGTCATGTAATCATTTAACAAATAGTCACGTATTAGTTACCTCGGGTGATAACCAGGATCCAGTTATCACAAAACATATCAATTATTTTTTCATATTCAACATTCGCTAAAAATTTACTTTTAATACTTAAAATTGCTAACCCGTTTAGCCTTTCTTGACTCATGGTAGACCGCAAATATGACTTCAGTAACTTTAGCTTTGAAAAACTTCTTTCACCAGATGCTACCATGACGGGTACAGTCAACAAAATCCTATATGAAAGCAACACATTTGGAAACATATCCATCTTCTTTGCAAACTCCAAAATCTCAATTGATGTCCATGGCTTTTCTCCTTTATATGCTTTTGACGGTAACATTTCCTGTAAAATTTGCAATTCCATAAACAAATATTTCCCATCAATATCACAATCATCATAATTTGTTAATGCAACTTCAAGATTCTACAAGAGTTTTTCAATTCTTCATCATATAAATGAACCAACCTCGACCCATCAAACAAGAAACTAAAAATCGATTCAAAAATTTTCATTTGCTCAAATCTAGTCTTCAATTGAGATAAAGTCATATCAACCAAAACAAGAAAATAATCAGTTCTAAATGTTTCTTGAGCATATTGTTGTTCTCTTTCCGTATTTGGAATCTCATCAAACTGTTTTTTTTCTAAAATAAGAACGTTTTATCGGAAATTCAGGCTCAATTCCAATTTCATTTGCAATATGTTTAGCTTCAATAATGGCAGAAGTAAGTCCAGTCTCCCTATACTTCTCAAAATAACAAACCAATACCTCTAAATTTTTTACCGCAATATCAAGTAGCATATCTTTAGATTGTAACTTTTTGCTAACTAAATTGATTTTATACAAAATTTCATGCCAAATAACCAAACTGACAATAAATTCAAAACTTGAAAGTTCACCATTTACCAAAGATTCAGCATCTCTACATAATTTTCCATCATCGCTAACTTGAGATAATTTCAACAAAGCTTCCTTTATTTGAGCAAATTGACTTTTTATAGCTTTAACACTTTCTATATGACTTTCCCAACGGGTAGTAGACAAAGATTTCAAAGTCAAATCATCAATAAACTCAAGTAAAACATTCCATCGCTTGGTAGAATTAGCAAACACATTGTATATTGTTTGACATGTTCCAAAAAAAGTTTTTGCTTTATGACAAGAATTTGCCATATCACACAAAACTAAGTTAAGACTATGGCAACCACATGTCATATAAAATGCTTTAGGATTTACATCAAGCAATCTTTTTTGAACACCTTGGTGTTTTCCTTTCATATTAGATCCATTATCATAACCTTGTCCTCGCACACAATTAATGTCTAAATCTAGAGATTTTAAAACATCTTGTAACACAGTGAAGAGACCTAAACCAGATGTATCCTCTACAACAAAAAATTCTAAGAAGAACTCTTCTACACTTATGGGAGCACACGACATGTCAACACATCTTATAATCAAAGTCATTTGTTCCTTGTGACTTGCATCAGGAGTGCAATCAAGAATTACGGAAAAATACTTTGCCTCTTTGATTTTTTTAATAATCACACTCTTAACTTCAGATGCCAACAATTGAATCAGTTCATTTTGAATTGTATGGCTAAGATAATGATAATGAGTTTCTTTGTCATTAATTAGCCGAAAATGTTGTTTCTTGACGGGATCAAACTCCGCAATCATTTGAAGTATACCTAAAAAATTCCCATTAGAATTTTGATAAATTTTTACATTTGATCCACGAAAAGCCAAATTATATTTTGCTAGACACTTCACAACAACAGTTATTCTAATCAAAACTTCTTTCCAATTATCTGTATCTTTCTTAATCAATTCTTGTAATTATTTATCAATTGTTTGATTTTTATTCAATCTCACTTGCAACTCAGTCCAAGTTCTCAAGTTAATCATATGCTCAGAACTATTTTCATGCAAACTTAATGTTTCACCTAAATGCCTCCGATCATTTATCCCTTCGGTAGCTAATTGACTTTTAGACCAAGCAGTTTTGAATATCTTACAACAAAAACAAAAAACTTTATCCAACTCTTTTGAATAAACCAACCATTTTCTATCATAAGAATCACCATTTCGTAATTTACGAACATAATGTTCACAAGAAAAGTGTCTACCTACTTTATCATTTGGAAAGTTGATGTTGGTTTCCCTTATAGTCCCTTTTTCAGCAAGCAAATCTTTCATTTTTGAATCTAAATCATCCCAAACCCTTGGATCAAAAATATTTAAAGTAACTTCATCATTACATGGATTTTCATCGTCCCCAACTTCATTAGTTCACATATTTTCAATATTTTCAACAAAATCATTGGGATTTTCATAAACATTTTCAGTGGGATTTTCAGAAACATTCTCAGTGGGATTTTCAAAAACATTTTCAGTGGGATTTTCAGAAGCATTTCCAATGGGATTTTCAGGCACATTTTCAATGGGATTTTCAGACATATTTTCATGCCTAACAAAATATCGATTTAACGATCCCTGAAAAAATTAGGCAATTTCTTGTTGTCTTTTCTTTCTTTTTCTATTTTATGCACCTGATGGTTGTGATCTAGGAAACATGTCTAATATCTTATGAAAATCAAGCAACGAATACCTAAGCAATAGTCAAGCAACAAGCATAGAACGATAGAACCTGGATTAAGTGCGTGCTTCCTTTCCATCTTGAAGACTCGTTCTTGAAGACTTGAAGACTTGGCCCTGCTTCCAATCCAGACTCGTTCAACAGTTCCAACTTGGCAACTTCGGGCTTCCAATTTCCAAAATCCAAGCCTCCAATTAACTGTATGACTATATCTACTATCTAGATTTCAAATTTGAAGAATGAATTGAAGGATTGAGATTTGAGAAACCAATCATTAATATTTAATCATTAAATCAAACAATCTGCCAATCTGGTACATATGCTCATTGCTCAAACATCTAATGTGTTACAGTGTTAGAAACTTAGAATCATAGAATGTGGGACAGTGAGTGTAAGACTCTCGAGTATACTGTATACCTATATATATATAGTGGAGTGTGGAGAGCAGGAGACTTACTGTTACTAGTTACCACTCTCGAGCAGATGGCAGTCGACAGTCGGCACTCGGACCTGTCCTCGTCCTCGATTAGATGGCAATCGGCACTCGGCAGTAGCCAATCGTCGGTCGCGTCGACTCCTCGATTCAAGGCCATGGACACAGCGTCACAGCCGTTGCGTTGCTCTTGCCTTGCTCGTTAGAGAAGTTACCGTTGCCCTAATGCCCTTACCTTACCGTTGCCCCTAATCCCCTGCGGCTATGCCTCTGGAATCGAAACATCGTCACTACTCACTCGTTCTGAAAAGTCAAAATAATCGAACGCGAACAGGAACAGGAACAGGCGAACAGCAAGCCGCAAGCACAAGGCTGTGTACCGTCAAATGTCAATCATGTTGTGAAAGGAGGATTGAGGGGCTCCAATTCAATCTTGGGTTTGAGCTTGTTTACAATTAAAGTTTTAAAGCCCAAGTTTTTAATTTTTAAATCCAAAGGGTTAAAAGGCCCAAAAATGAAAACTAATACTATGGTCCATATACAAATTTGATGCCCCTTTGGGCTTTGATGCCCTGTGCGGCCGCACGGGCTGCACGTGCCCAGGGCCGGGCCTGTACACGAGCAATTTAAAGTTACAACTGGGATAAGCCATAAACCATTATGTGATACTAACTGGGATGAACTAAGTGACTAAAGTGCCTGCATTTTGAGCCACCATGCTAACATTTAATAGGGGATTGTTTTAACTTGGCCTTCTAACTAGATTCATTCAAGAATTAAGATATAATATATTATGTTTGACTGTGTGGGCCGCTTAATCAACCACTTAGGAGTGTAGCATCATCCACCACTAGAATTAGCAACTAATCATTGAAGTAAGTATTTTAAAAGATTAAGCAATGATTAAATTAATCTTTTCTGAACTAGTCCTCATCAATTGACTTTTCTCAACTCGCAGAAAATTTCCCATTCCTTTGATTAGGATGCTATTCATGTACGGGATCCCTAAGTAAGAAATCTCTCTACATAATTTTGATTGTGGCTCATTTTTAGCCTACCCCAAGTTCCTAAACCATAAAATCAGGTGATAGACAACATAATAATCCAATACTTATGCTCATTATTAATATTTGAAACATAATTCTAGACCATTATGCAAGTAATATATTATCTAGGTAAAACACCCCATCTATAGTCCCCACCAACAACTCAACAAGGAAGAGGAAAAAAGTGAACCAGGAAAATGCATTAAAGGTTTGAATCTCACTGAAGGTGAGGTGTAATTTCTAAACTGATTCAATCCTGCTACAATTCAGAATCTTATTGTTGTTGTCCCATAGATAATAAACCACAAGAATTGTAGTTGGTGGTTAAATATACTAGTATTACCCCCAACTCAACATATGCAAAACCATGAGTGTTCTATATGATTCTAAAAGAATTAGGTACATCATACATGAACACCAAAATAATAATGCAAAATGGCAGTGACTGGTAGCTTACAAGTAAGAAAAGTAAAAAAAAAACCATGAAAGCCTATAATCGAAAGGAGACTTGAGTTCTTACAAGTGCAAATAGAATTTCTTGACTTAGCCTGTAGTTGATTGAATCCAGAGAGGCAGAGATTCGAGAAAGTCGAGTGAGGCGGAAAGGAGAGAGCACATTCGATCGAAAAAAGCAGAGAAGAGAGAGCATAGTCGTTCGATTGAATCCCAAAGAAATAGTCTATTTGTTTTCTTCGGGTTTCAGACGGGTTCGGGTTTTGGATCATGTAACCAATCCGACTAACTCGATATAATTTTCAGATTTAGGACCTCGGGTTGGTTCGGTTCATATAGATTGGTTTGGTTCGGGTTTTTTCGATCAAGTTTTTTAGGTAATTCGGGTTAGATCGGGTTTTGCACAACCCTAAGTGTGATTCTCCAAACCACATTTAAACAAACTGCCTCAATTAAAGAATCCAAGATCAAATTTTGGTGGTAACACTCAAAGTAGCTGTGGGGGTATTGGTATCAGAAGAAGTGAATCCGAGATTGGCAAAAGGGTGATCCTTCTAGATGTCAAGAAGGGAAGCGAAGAAAGTCTCTGATGTGGTAACGGGTATGTTTATTATAAACTCCGTATATGCTAAAGTGCTATTGATTCTGGTGCAAATTATTCTTTTGTATCACCATTATTTGCTAGATGTTTATATTTGAAATCTGTACCACTAGACTGCGCATTAGTAGTTGATATTGCTAATGATAGTCAAATTTCTGTTACCAAGGTGTATAATGATTGTCAAATAGAGACTGAGGGGTGTACTATACCAATTCTATTATTTCCATATGCCAATAAGAAAATTTGATGTAGTTGTGGGTATGGATTGATTGTCAGAAAATCAGGCAAGTATTGTGTGATAACCAGATCCTGGTTATCACCTGAGGTAATCAATACGTGATTATTATTTGCTAAATATTTACGTGATAGCATGATAAATTGATATATTTGATCATGCTAGTATGTGAAGGTATGCATGATTATGGGTACGTATGCATGAAATGTATGTGTGGGATGCATATGATATATATATATATATATATGAATGCATGATATATATGTATGAATACATGGGTTTACATACATAAATGATATTTTTATATATATGTTAAAATACTTTTGGGTAAAGGCTGTAGTTAGCCGACCTTCCATTAAGGAAAGGGTATAAAAGGATGATTAACCTTCATTTTGCATTCTTCTTGCCAAAATTAGAATTATGTGTGCGATTGAAGAAGAAAGGTCGACCGGATTGCTTATTTTGAAGGAAGATTCACCTGATTTCTAAAAGAAATTCACAAGGTGAATGGTTAAAATGTTTTGAACTTCTTGGTTGGTATATCGAATTATGCTTTAAAAGTTTTGCAACTGATTTTAAGCTTTACTTGGTTAAGTGTTGAGTGGTTTATGTTAAACCGGACAAAGGGTGGGAAAATCTTAAAAACTTAACCGGTCAAGGTGTGAGCGGGTTAAGGCTAAACCGCCTGAGGTATTGAGCGGATAGTCTTAAACCGGACAAGAAGTAAACGGTTTAAGTATAAATCGGTCAAGAGTTCAACAGATTAGACATTAAACCGGATATGTCTTAACCGGTTTAATGATTGAGCGATTTATGAACTTCAACTTTTTGTTACACTTTTAATCGGAGAACTATGAATACGATTAAAGGTAACCGGTTTATTTAAATCGGACGATTATGCATAGTGATGTCCATATTTGTTATCCGGACAAGATTATAAAGTTTTAACCTAAGTCTGAAATTAGACAAAGTCTATGTTGACCGGATTAATGGTAAATCAGACAAGCCTTGGACGATTTGTTGTCCAGATTTGGTAAACCGGCCAAGACTTAACCGAAGATGAAGTTCGGCCAAGTCTATTTTGTTTGGATTTGCATTTTGACTTGTTCATGATTTATATATAATTGTTATTTTTATATATAAATGGGGAATTTTGAAAAAGATGATTTTGAACTAATAATAATAATTCCATTGAATGCGGTCTATTCTATATGGAATTGTTTTTGTAAAATGTTTTGATGAGGAGATAAGGGTGACATATGAAGGAGAGCTGTACCATGGGATAAGGGTGGCATATCAAGGAGAGGTGTACCATGGGATAAGGGTGACATATCAAGGAGAGGTGTACATTTGGATATAAGGGTGACATTTTTATGTGTGTGTTATATAACATAACTTCTACTATCATATCCTTTAAGATTACCATGGTCTAGAATCTTTATTTCTTTGTGACTTAAAGATTTAGGATCAGAGTTCTTATTGGAAATCATAGTTTGAATGTTATAGAGAAGGAGATAACAAGTTTGGCGTGAAACTTTGTATAAACCTTGTTTGAATAGAAAAGGTTTAAAAGTGGCACTATGTTAATTTGGTTAATGTAAACCTGTTTAGAGTTGATATATTATTTGCAAGCATGGAAATTTGGCTTGAAAAGTAAAAAGGTGTTAGTACCATGCCCTTACTTGTTCATATATTTGTTATATATATGAAAAGTTGTTTTACATAAAGTTTTGGTGATTAACACCCTGCAATGACATAAATAGGGTAACTCACTAGACCTTTCGGTCTAACCCTTGTTTTATGATTTTAAACATGTATTGCAGGATGTGCTGAAGGTAAGGGAAAAGGGAAAATATAATAATTTCCCTATACGTTTATCTGCATGAAGATTGGCTGATAGTTTTGATAGATGAAACTGGATTAGTGCAAGAATTGTATTCTAAATTTTGGACCATGTATTTTGTACGGATAGATTATTGTACTAAGGGCCCAATGTGGTGTATAAACATGTATTTCTTTTATATGAAGTATATGTTACATGCAATGTGTAGAATGGGGTGTTACATATTGTATGCAACAAGAAGATGATCCATATTAATATGCCAAGTAAGGGACCAATTATGACTTATGATGACCGGAGGGATCATCACACAAGCCTGATTTTTGATTTAAAAGCTCGAAAATGTATTAAAAAAGGATGTCAAAGTTTCATGGCCTATGTGATTGATTCTAAGAAAGATATAGGTAAACAATAATCTGTTCTAGTCGTTTGTGAGTATCCAGAAGTATTTCCAGATGAATTGTTCAGTTTACCTTCTAATCGGTCAGTTGAATTCCGAATTGATTTAATACCGGGAATGAGACCGGTAGCTAGAGCACCGTATCGTCTGGTACCATCAGAGTAATGACACATTTGAAAGAATTGCTAGATAAAGGCTTCATCAGATCTAGCACATTTCCCTAGGGTGCTCCAGTGTTATTTGTAAAGAAGAAAGATGAGTCGATGCGAATGTGTATTGATTACCGGGAATTGAACAATCTGACAATAAATAATAAATATCCTTTACCCAGAATCGATGATTTGTTTGATTAGTTAGTCGGGGCAAGTTATTTCTCTAATATTGATTTACGGTCATGATATCATCAATTTAAAGTTCAGGATGAAGATCTAGTCAAAACTGCTTTACAGTCATGTTATTGTTTTTATCAATGACATTCTTATCTACTCTCGGTCAAAGGCAGAACATGCCAAGCATCTCGTTTAATTCTTGAACTTTTGAAGAAGGAAACTTTGTATTGTCGAAATGTGAATATTGGTTGAGAGA